AGCTGAGACTCTGGCTTCAGAGGCCCTCCTGCTGCCTCACAGTTGGTGTGCCTCTTTCCACACTGGCTTGCTTCTGAAAAGGAAAGACTGTCTTCGGAAGAGACAGGAGGCAATCTGGGCAGTGGGACAGGGTGGGGAGCAGTGAGGAACCTCCACAATTTGGCTGTCTAACTGCTTTGGAAGCTAAGGAAATGCAGAAGCAATCATAGTCCTCTTGCTTCTCCCACCTTCCAAGGGATGCTCAGCACCCTCTGAGCTTGGGGGGATTACTTGCAACCACATTGCATGGTATTCTCAGTAACAAAAAGGTGCTAGGTAACAAGACCAATCTTCCCAAGACACTTGCCTTAGTAAATTGCCTTCTCCGATCTCAGTTCCCTGCTGTAATCCAGATAAAGCACTAGCAGAGCCTCACCAAAGCATCTTTCTGAGCAGGTATTCTTTAGTTGAACCCCATAGAAACTTCACCATAACAGATCCCACTCTGGACCCTCACATGGAACCAGGAACTCATAGTCTCATTCAATAGCGAACCTGCAATCTCATGACAATGGCAATGCCTTATGCAAAGATGTATCCATAAACTGGGCCAAACAGACCTGCGTAGGCTGAGTAGACTGTTCCATCATCCAGGGACATGCAAATTAGCTTTCCAAGAAAGAGGTTTCCAGAAGAGAAACGTACTCAAATATTACACTGTGAGAAGCTGTCATAGCTCCCTCATGAGCTGTAACCTGATCCTCCAACGTATTAACTTTTGATTTCTTCAGTTTAAGGCAGACTTCAATAGAACTGATGGATCCCTGGAGAGTTTTGATAGAATCCTGGATCAGCTGCAACTGCTAAAGTGGGTTAGACTGCTGAGATAATTGTAGTGACAGGTTTTTCAGCAGGGCAACAACCTCTTCCCCTTCAGACTCTACTTTAAAAACTTTAGTCAGAGGAGGTTGAGGCATGTCAGTGGAATTCCCAAGCCTTCTTTTCTCTTGATGTGGTCATGATCAAACTCTCCTCCAAAGCACAGCAAGCTGATATAAAAATAAAAACAAAACTAGAACAAGGCTAATGCAAAATACTGGGATAAAGGCTAATTGTCTTTAGGAAATTTTAAAATTTAAACATCAAGAGAGAACTGATTGCATTGCAAAATTAATCAGAAGATGCTGGTTTTGCATGAAGTGTGTTCATGTTTTTACAGTATTAGCATGGATTTACTCTTTCACCCTCTAGTTGTGTGCCTGAGGGGCATTTTCTCTGTTCTACCTGTTTTCTCTTCTGCCTGATCTCTGCTGCACCAGTCCTGGGAGGACACAATGGCTCCCCACTCTAAGTTGACAAACTGGGCGCGTTCACATGGCACAACAAGCCACTGACTTGTGTTTTTCTTGCACAGGACGGTCTGCCATGTCATCTGAACCCCACGTGGTATTTCAGCGTGCTACACTGGGTTCGTAGCTGCAGTTGGAAGCAGCTGCTTGTGGGTTTTCATGCTTCACCATGGTTTCTCTGGTCATCAGAACCCAGCACCATGGCTGTTGTACTCCTGGTATGTCGCTATCACAGAATAAGAGCAGCAGCTGTTGCAGGAGCTGCTGCAGCCACCCAGTGTGGGATTGCATTTCAGGCGTGGCGGCTGATGGGGTGCAAGCTGGCGGGGCATGGGAAACCTTGTTAGTTTAGAAACGCCTCAATTGTCAGGCACACCCAGGCAAGAAAAACACAAACCATGGAAACCACATAGGCTTGCTTGTCATGCTGTGGGAACCCCACCATAGACTCTGCCTTCCTCATGCCATCCTTCGCTGAAGGAATGCCCTCTATGGAGTTCTGAGAAGGGATGCTTGAGGAATCCACTTCGCAGGGGAACTCCACCCGATTCCTTGGTTATGTCAGGACCAGCGCCTGGCTAGCCCTGCAGGTGTCTCCAGAACCAAGAGCACCTTTTCAAGCACTGGCAGGAAACGGCTGAGAGACAAACTTGCAGTGCACCTGGGTCCTGGAAGCCAACCTGAATGGCCTCACTGCACTGTTGCTCTCTGTCACAACCATGCAAGTTGTCTTTGTGACTTCCTTGTGTCCGCTGCATCACTGCGCCTTGACCCTCACTCCTGTGTGTCCCCGCCTTGCTCCTGTTCGGTCCTGCATGCTGCAGTTCATTCCTGCCCTACTCCTGTTTGTTCCTGGCCAATCCTGCAATCCTGCACCTGTTTCCAACCATGCCTACCACCCCAGGTACCTGTGCCCTTCTGCCCTGGCCTCACCTGCTCCTGAACATGACTGCCCTCCCAGTGCTTAACTCCTGGACTGTTTTTGTGGACTGTGCTACCTTTCTGTATGATACTGAACTGTGAAGTTCCCCCCAGCACCAACTCTGGACTGTCACTCCATTCTTATCTCTGAACCCTGCCTTGCACCGGCACCCTGGTCCTGGCGTTCTGCCCACCCACCCTAACCCATGTCCCGGGCCTTACAGGCTTTGGCTTCCCAGACTCTTTGCGGCAGCCCAGAGGTCAGGTTGCCACTGGCAGCGAGTGGGAAAGAAGGCTGGTCACTGGGAATGGCAGCTGGGGAAGGTTGCTGATTGCACAGCTCGAGCCTGTAAATGCTCGTAGGCTTCTTCCAGGACCCGCTCACTTCCTTAGAAGGGAACAGGCACTGGAAGGAGTCAGAACCAGATTTTGGAGAGACTCAGCACAGCCTTACTTCTGAGCACTAAAATTCACAATAAACGGGGGGGTTTATTTTCTATTGTGCAAAATTGCATTTCTGTTGAACCAATGTCTCCCTTGAAGTTGCCTGGTTGCATATAGAAAGGAAGATGGGCTACTACAGGGGTCCTCGAACTTTTCCACCAGGGGGCCAGTTGAAGCTGCCGGTGCTGGGCGCGGGCCGGAAAGGTGGTGCCTGCGGTGCACACGGGCCGGCGTGGGGGCGGAGGTGGCGCGTGTGGGTGCGCGCACTGAGGCGGGGGCAGGGTGTGCAGTGAGGCAGGGCGAGGTGAGGCGCAGGCACGCATGTCGAGGGGAGGCGAGGCAGGGGCGGGCACACGCCACGAGGTGGGCACACGAGGCAGAGATCGTTTTCTCCGAGCAAGCAAACCGCTGCTTCCCCGCGCACGGGATGAGGTGGGCAGCAGCGTGTACGCTTGGGACATGGGCACAGTGGGTCCAAATGAGCATGGTGGGCCAGATCCGGCCCCTGGGCCGTAGTTTGAGGACCCATGGTCTACTAGATATTCTGGTTCTGAGTTATTTAGGGTTTTGATGGTTGAAAGCATAACCTTGAACAGGTGGATAACTAGGTACATAGAACAAAAATTGTTTCTGCTGATTAATAAAGGAGGGTGTCAAACTTTGTAAAATGAGTTTATACATTATTTTCTGTAATATGTCATAGTTTGGAAAAAGAACATAGTACTAACATCCTAGTGTAAGCGTTGAAGCTGCCATGCATTCTCATGCTGTTTCCTTTCCCCATGTATGGATCTTGCCAAATAGCAACCTGAGTAATATTTACATTTTAAAATATCAGTTGTCTCATTTTTGGACGAAAGAAATACTCATGTTTTTGTTGGTGTAGACCCATCTAAATGGTAGCTCACTTGAAGCAAGTGGGTTTGATTATCCAGCAGGGAATTATTTCAATAAAAGGTTGGATGCAGTTTCAAAAGATTTTAGTTTTGCCCATAAAATTCCCAGCAGCACCTGCAAATGATAAAAATGACTTTGAGACTTTCAGTAAAATGTTACAAGTGATATTGGTATAGCAAAGCCAGATTTCTTTTTCTAGAAGATGTTGACATTTGGAAAAGTCAAAAACATCTCCCAGAAAGTATGATATTGATCCATTGATACAGCATAAACCTTTCAACAAAGTTTTTGTCCTTGACATTGTTATTGTTGTTGTTCATGTACCGAATTGGCCAGAGTTATTTAAGAGGCATTGCTCTTAAAGCAGAAAAAAATGAGTTATGAAGCAATCTCATAGTAGCTGGGCTGTGTGGCTGATGTTACAACAAAATGGCTAATTAAAGCTAAAGTCCAAAGAGCAGAATCTATGTATTGAACCCAGATTTATTCATGCATTGAGTAGACCCATTGAAATCAGTGGGACCTCAGTTTCTCATTATTACATGATGTCTCATTTATTCAACTGGGCCTATTCAACCCTACATTAGCAAATATTAAATCCTACCAGTAAAATCCATCATGGTGATTCTGATTACTCATACTTCAGAGCAGACCCACTAATATCAATGGGATTTTATTTTAATCATGACTGAATTAAGCCATGTTTACTCCCAGGTACCTGTGCCTAGGATTAGAGCCTTAGACTTGTACTATTCTGAAACCCAGTTCTGAGTATTGCAAGGCAAACTCCTTTGAAACTCTGGAGAGTTTCCAAAACATTATGATGTAGCATAAGAAGAGGAAAGTTACATTTTCCATTTGTCTAACATCTTATGTAATGAGCCTCTGTAATTCTTTGGGAACAAGATAATATTTTTCTTGGTGTAATCTGTTTTTCAGTATTTTAAAAAATGTTCTCTGCCTTGCTTTATTTTTTCATACTCTGATTACCCATTCCAAGTCCCACGGGTGGGATAGGACTTAAATAAACAATAGGCTAGAATAATTTTGTGTATTCTTCACAGAGTTATTCTGGTGTGCATGGGTTTTTCTGTTACATGTTTTATGACTGAAACTAAATTAGGTTCTAGTGATAAGGAATACCTCCAAAGAATTTGGTAACACTGAAGGAACTTCATACAAGTTTGCAACAGGTTTGTTATTCCAGTGTAATGATGCAAATTCTACAGATTTTTCACGGCTCCGGTAGTGTTGCTCTATTTAAAAGACAACTGTGAATACTTATTTTTAGACTCTGTCCAGCAGCTGCCTCCAGATGATATCCACATTCCATACTTTTCTCTTCTTCAGCGCATCAAAGCACTTGTGCCACATTCATCTAAACCCTTGTGCAACTTTCTTGTGTTTCAGCTTTGGTTTGCGTTCGTTAATGGATTCTCTGGGCAGATTTTGTTTGAGCGGTGGTGCATTGGCCTCTACAATGTGGTAAGTGCCCCGTGTCTCCACTGATAACATGCCAAACCCAGATGCCATTCCGTGGGTGTTTATGTCTGTGCAGTTTATCTCAGCTGATCATCTATGTACTGGGGGGACCCAAAAAGCCCAGGAATTTATTTATAAAAAATTGTGCATTTATTTTTACATCTTCAGACTTCAGTCACCTTCAAAGTACTCTCTGTTTGATGAAATACACCTACTGAGACATTTTTCCACTGCTCAAAACAAGTTTTGAACGCGTTGATTTTGATGCCTTTTAGAGCTTCTGCAGTTTTTTGTTTCACCTCTTCCAAATTGGCAAAACATTTTCCTTTGAGGACTTTTTTCATCCAGGGAAACAAAAAAGTAGTACCAGGCAAGATCGGGTGAATAGGGAGGGTGGAGCACAAGGGTCGTGCCATTTTTAGTCAAAAACTGCTCAATACCGCCGCACGCTGTTCGTGTAAATCAGCCATCACGAAATAGGCCAATGCGTTGAAAGAGTCTCCGGAAAAGACTCACTGAAGCTGAACTCAGCCTCTCACAACAACCCAGCTAGATACACTGCTGCAGATGGGTTCCTAGAACATTCACCTGGTGGGGGAAGCCTGTACTACAAGGGGCCACCCTCCAGAAGATAATTCCAGGGGTTTTTGGGTCCTCCCTCGTACACACTATAAGGTACATTAGGGACTATTCTTGCTATGCCTCAGATTTAAGGGGAGCATTAGAAAGACTTAATTTGTTACTCTCAATGTACAACAGTACCTTGAAATTACTAACCCAGCACAAACTTGCCTACAGCAAGCCAGATGCAAATCCCTCTGGGAAGAAGCAGGAAACGGTTTATCCAGCCTCTGATGTAGGGTGGCCCCTTACACATCACCAGAAAGAAAGAGGACGGAAGAACAGAGATTGCATTGCATGTGCTAATCTGCAGAGATATTCAGAGATGCACATTTGGAAATGATGGGTATGATTTCAATAGAAATGCAACACATTTCAACATAGTGGGGAAGACTGAGGCTAGGTGATCTGTGTGCCTTGTTTGCTGTCCAGGTGTTACTTCTTGACAAGTATCTAGCAGGCTCTGCTCTCCCTTCTTATGGATTTTCATATTTAGGTTAGACCTGGACTAGGCAGCAGTGATGTGTAAAGAATTTGGTTTGGGGTGGGAATCCATAGATTTCCTCAGCATAGCTTGCCAGGCTTTGCCTGCTTTTCTCTACCCCAAGTCTGTCTCACCTTCATGTGGGTGCCCAGCAGGAAGCAAGTCCAGGTAGCCCCATGAGCTTGGCTCATGCACGCGCCACCCACATCCGCACTGTGCAAGTGGAGTTCTGTTCCACACACATGAGATTTGGGCTTTGAATATTTTGCATGCTTTGTATACTTGTGCAAAGATGCTGTTAGCATTCCTGGTCTTTCATGAACTTAGCTCAGCTCAGCTTGCTTGCTGACCAGAGCAAGAATGAGAAAGAAATCCAGCAAGCACAAGAGAGCTGGATTCCAACTTGATCCTCACGCCCTACTGGGCAGCGCTTCAAATGGAGCAGGCTTCCCCAAACCTCATACATCTCCCATCATCCTCCAGCCAGTTTGGCAAAGGTTAAAAAAGGATACCTGCAAACAGAGGACTGTCCCCTATAAAGTAGAACACATGGCCCCCTTACTGTGATGCATCATCCTCCGTTCCTGATAAGTTGTGCTTGACTTATGCAATCACTCATAGTCAGATATTTCCCTTAGTAATGCTGATTTATCAGGTCTTCATGACCTCAGTTAAAGGATTTTATGACATTCCACTCTGGCTGATGGATATAGGGTCTAGTGAACCCCTTTATATTGTTACACACTCCTCACTTCCTCAAGTGGTGAAACCTACCCAGGGCAGTGCTCACTTAGATTGAACTTCCTTTGCAAGGAGACTCCTCTGGAGACACAGCATTCAGTAATATTTTATCTAATTACAGTATACAAAAAGGTGAAACAAATTAAGCAGTCCAGTAGACCCACTCCCCCGCATCAGATGCTCAGGTAGAAGCAAGCAACACTTACAAATGCTTCAAGCTTTCCAAAATTTGTCTGCCTCTCCATCTGTTGCATTCCATGTGTCTTCTTTCAACTGCGGTATTTGTACACAATCCTTGTAACTGGCTTTAGCTGCAGGTTTCTGGGAATCTTGTCACCTTCCCTCAATTTCTCCTTGCATTCCAAAGTAATTACAAATTCGCACCAATCAGGTTCCATTGAGACATTTCCCTGGCCACCCTGGACCATAAACATGCTGGAGTAATAAACCATGTTGGTATAGCTTGGCAACTGACCAGTAGGTGACATTATTATCTTCCGCATAGCCTGAAATGCCCAATCCTGCCTAATCTTGGAAGCTAAGCAGGGTTGGGCCTGGTTGCACCCATCTCCCCCCCGCCCCCCCCCCCAGTGTGCCAGGATGATGTGGGGGTGGGGGAGAGGGCCACGATCTTTGTTGTTCTTTCTCACTTTGCCTCACATTTTTTTCTGATTAAAAAAAATAGTTACAGAACGGATTGACCTAATTTACATTGACTTTATGGGGAAATTTAACTTGGCTCATGACCAATTTGGGTCTTTCTAATTCTCCTACTACTCTCAGTCTTATCCCCACAACAACTACTACTACTACACCAGTAGGTTGGACTGAGAGTCTGTTACAGTACGTAAGTCACCCAGTTGGCTCCATAGGTGTGCAAGGACTCCCATTTCTGTGTCCTTAGCATCACACTGGCTCAATGACTTTATAGGAGCTATCCATAGTGCTGAACTGCATCCTCAAAATTAGGTTCAGCACCATGAAATGCCATACAAAGCTCAAAGAAAGCCACAAAGAAAAGCTACAAGGTATGAAAAGCCCTAAGGATGTTGGAGACATCAGCTTCCCCCTCTCCCAAATTCTAGTTCCGTACTTTAACCACTACACCACACCAGCACTCACAACTTTCCCAGTTAGCAAGGTGGTGGTAGCTGCACGGCTGCTACATCTCCATCTTGCCTGGACCTTCTGCTCAGCCTAGCAAGCAGGACTTTAATGTTGCTCTTCAGCAGGTGAAGTAGGAGGATAAACTGAAGGACTATGAACTAAATGGCTGTTGTACAAATTCCAACTCCTTCATTAACTATCAAGGGAAAGGGCAGTTCAAGCATAATAAATAATGATCTTGGTTTGGTAACCTAAAAACAAGTCTTGCACTGGCATCTCCTTTTTCCCTTTGTTCAGAGCTGCAGACATCTCCACCAGGAAACTGGAGTTTAAGCCTGAATTACAAATCATTCATATCCTTACTAGCTCGAGGTTAAACCACAGTTGCATGGATTGGATATAATGGGAAACTACAGTTGAACAAACCCCAGAAGTCTTCAGTTCTGGCATGCAAGCAAAGGAGGACTTCTTAGTAATCTCAGGGTTTATTGGACTGAGTTGGCTATGCCTGAGCTGATGCATTATCTGCTTCTCTAGGCTGAATCCTGGCCAATGCAGGGGTGCTGCTGTTTGAAAGAGTTTTATCACCCACTGCATTTTTGTCCTTTTTTATTCTTCTGGGCCAGCAGATCCAGAGCTATATAGAATAAAAACCTTAATAAGTTTTATTCTTAATCTTCTATAACTCTTTGAAGATTTATAAAGCACTTTTCTTCATACATCTTCAACGTATTTGACCTCACAACTACCCTGTGAGGCAGGTCATATTTTATAGCATGGAAGGTTGCCTCCCTTATCTTCAAGACCTCACTGTTTCACCGTAGCTTTTTGATTGCAAATGCATATGCATCTGGAGTAGTCTTGGAGGAGGAGAAAAGTCTATTTTCCCTTATTGTCTTTCACGACTTACAATGAGCCAATTCCATTTGTACCCTTTAAATTATAAGTAAGATATGCCCTATTTAATTCCAGAGGGATAGCCCCATTAGTCTGTTCTGACCAGCACTCGGGCACAAAGGAGTCCTGTGACACATTAAAGACGAACAGATTTATTGTGGCATTAGCTTTTGTGAACTACAGCTCACTTCCTCAGATGCACTGGTCTAATCCACAAAACCTTCTGGCATAATACATCTGTTAGTCAATGGCTTGACTCAGAAAACATGTGAAAGTCCTCCAAAATACTGAGGCAAGAGGGGCCCTCCCCTGACAGTGTCACAGTATGGCCCATGCACGGGACGGATTAGTGCATCCCAAGGGTCTTGTTATACAAAACCGCTCACGGGAATAAGAATCTCCCTTGTGTTCCATGGTTGCTCAACCGGCAGCTGTAATTGGGCCAATCCCTCAGACAAGGACATACGGACATGCTCATCCTGCGTGTGGACCCAGCCTGGGCAGTCAGTCATATGAGCTGGCCATTAGTCTTGGCTCTCATCTCACACACGGGGATACACAATGCTCTCCACGCAGCCATCTGGTGTGTTGCTTTGTGCCTAATTCAAAGGGGAGGGATGACATCATGGGGCTTGGAAATGTTCTTGCTGTTACTGATCCCCAAGAATAGCCAGCCCTTTGTTGGAGCTGATCTTCACCTGCATTCTTACGGGTTTCTGGCAGGAATCATGTTCTAAACTTTAAAAAGATAAATAAAAGCTTTCCATTTTCCCTTTTTGTAATGAAAATAAATAGAAATGGTATATAATTAGAGACAGCTGCAGGGTTGTAAATACAACACAGGGATATAAGTTTAGGTTATACATAAAATTTCATTGATAAACAATTTCTGGGGGGTAACTAAGAATATTGGTTTGGGAGAAGCTGCAGACTGTTTTGGTCTTTTAAAACCATAAATATTATTCTAAAATGTATGAAACATGATCCAATGGGTTTAATTATTTTGAAGAATTTCTCTCCTGCCTTCCCTTGTCAAATCTAGCTGGCCAGCAATGATGAAACATGGCAAAACATTTATACACCCATGTATACACCCATGCACACATACACATACAGAAAACATCCTATGCAATGTCAGAAGATAGCAGATACCAATATTTACAAAATCTGAATAAAGCAACTTCTTATATGAATACATCACTTAAAAACCTCATTTCAGTGAACTGTCTCCACACAGTTCTTTGTAAAAAGATTGCCTATAGTTTTAAAAAGAATGGTTGCATTCAGTGGTGTACTTCTTCCAACAGAACTTGGTTCCATACTAGTGGAACACATTTGCCCTCCCACCCCATCTGAAGCAGGTTGGAAGGGCATGCAGAATGCTACAAGGAGGTAGGAGGGGAAAAGATGTCCCTGTTGCATGAACAGAAATCCACTTGTGTACCATTGGATGTAACTCATGGGCTTTCCCTTGTGATGAAATGACATGACAGATGAACACAGTGAGCCTTCTCAGTTCCAGAGCCCAGACACAGCTACAGTGAAACCTTTCTTTTTAGTTCCACCTGAGTACCACTGATGACTTCAATGAGCAAGCAGACCCACAAGTGGGAAAGTTGGGTTCACAGGTAACCCAGTCCCATAGAAGTCTTTTGAATCAAGATGTAGTGTGCAGCTGTTGCAGCTCTACATTTGGGTCCAGCTGGACTCTGTATTGGAGACCCTGTAGAGGTGTCTGTGTTCAAATATTTATCTCATGAAAAATCGCATCCTTACTGATGCTATTTGCTCCATTGCAGAAAAAAATGTTGAAATGAAATAAGTTCTTTAAAAAGAAGTTTCAATCACAGATCTCTTGTGTAGCATTTTAGTTCACTAATAAGATTTGGGAGCATGAGGGAAAGACAGTCTAAAGAAATAGAAGTCTAAGGAAAACATTCTGGGGACCAACCAGGACTCCTCCACCTTTTTGAGAATCTTACAGAACTTTCAACATTTGAACAGGTGGCGGATGGATACTTATTTGGATATCTGGTCCATTTTTGTTGCAGCCTATATCAACCAATCAAATTTATTCCAGTTAATAGGTACCAATTGTATCCTGGAGGATGCAGAATGTAACAAAAGTTGCAAATACCAACATGTTCTATAGATTCTCTATAATTCTGATTATTACAAGGCAATACTCTTAGAGAAAAAGGGTCACCTTCATACCTTCCCCAAAGTATGTTCATTGGAAAAATGTAAAATTTGCCAAAGTCAATCTCTGCAATATTTAGCAACATGCACAGTCCTGAAGTAGAAGTAGTAACTGGAAAGGCTCATCTTAGGAGACACCCAAAGAATAACGTGTATAAATAAGTGCTAGTTGTATGCATTTTGTACAAATCCAGATGTGCATATTAAAACATGAAAGGGGGAACTCAAGGAATGCCTATGGGTGCCATGTTGGGGATTCCCTTCACAGGTGCCATTTGAGGTACTTACAAATGCTTCTGTGGGAACCCCTGATGTAGATAAAGCAGCCAAATAGGTACACAGGAGAAGGCAACTTGTGACCTTCCAGATCTTTTGGCCTTCAACTCAGATCAGCCGCAATCAGATTATGGGAGTTACAGGGCAAACAACTGGAGAGCCACAAGTTACCCATCCATCGGGTTACGTAAGGTTGCCAGGTTTAAACCCTAACAAACTTCCTGCTGCATAGAGGGGGGATTCCATCAGGGATGGCATCCATATCCATCCACAACAGCAGTTGAAGGCCAAGAGGCAGTGGGGCAGAGTATAGGGCAGCTGCTAAATTTTACATATAGATTTGAATCCACTTTGTTTACTGCAAGCTTCTAGTCATAATATGTTAGTGCTGGCTTGGAGTTTCTTTTCATCCTTCATACATGGGTGATTAACTATAATCACTAGTTAAACTTGACATGCTGCTCTTATAAAATTATCCCATAACTATCTAATATTGTGAAGAGATTTTATTACAAACAGCAGCCAAGCTGTCAAAGCCATCTTCCCTGGTGCTTTGCTGTGGAGCTTCCTTGTTAACAACTGATTTGGGATCAACTGTAAATTCAATCAATTTACTCTTTGGTCCTGCACACATTTCTTTGGAAGCTAAGTCCCATTGATAATTGGTGGAAATTACTTCCGAGTGACTGTAGTACTGCAGCCCAACTATAAGACATACTGTGTCTGCTGACAGTATATGCACAGTGTTACAGCAGCATTGGGATTTTCCATGGAACAAACAAGTCAATAAAAATATTTATTTATGAATTATACACATTTATATCCTGCCTTGAAGGTTATATGCAAACTTTTCCAAGACATATTGCAAATGTGGTACCCATTTTATGAATTGCAAAAAAGAGGACTGTGTAACCCAAATGAGGACAAAAGAAGGCAATGATTTGCATAAAATTTGCATATGCTAATTTACATGACCTGGATTGGGAAACTGCCTTCCATAAGAAAAATACTTCCACTCCCATAAGGTTCTTCCACCCAGTTTGGGAGGATCTTCCTTTCCCACTTACACACCAGTTTACCCCATTTAATGAGGTCTCCTGAATCTCTGCAGAGTATTTTCAGGGGGCTGGAGGGGTTGCCATGGAAAGTCCTGTTCCTTCAGTGCAGTTGATCCAGCATGAATCTAGATCCTACATACAGAAGCAAATGTAGAAATAAGTATTATAATGTCAATAGAAATACCGTACGTCACCCATAATGTAGAAAGCTGTGTGCCTTGCCCGGTCTGCTGCCCAGGTGCTGTGGATGGGCAAATTTATCTTTAAGCCTCACATGGACTGGATAGCTCCTCACTCAGAGGATGCCTTCAAATAGTGGACACTCCTCTGGCAGCCCCACAAATAAAGGAATGTCCTTCATAAAAGAGGACACATAGCTACCCCACTGATGAGAAATGCCAGCATACAAGAATAAAATAACAAGAAGACAAAAATCATGAGATGTTCCTGCAGTGGAGAAAGGAACCATGAAACTGCCACAGGAGTAAGCTGGACACATGTCACCTTTGCCTGCTGGCCCACCTCCTTCCCACAGGGCAGTTGGTGCTTGGTTTTTAGGTCCCGTGTGATTCAGAGACTCCTCGAGCTGTTGTTTGTTAAAAACAAAAATTGCTGGCACTTAAAAAATATTGCTGACCTTATTAAAATACATGATATAAAATGTTTAATGGCACAATCATAGGCATTTTAGGAAGAAAAATGTCTAAATGTGCATAGGATTGCACTTTAATTGTTTAACTTAGAGATAAATTTGCAGAGGTTATATTTAAACTGAAATACTGAAAATAAATAGGCTTGGGATGCAGTCCTCAGTCCTTTGCAGTGGAATAGTCTCATTCTTTAATTGTGTTCTTCTAAGCTTGGTGGCAACAATTCCTGCCTTTAATTCTTGTTTAGGGTCTCAAGGGCATGGAGGAATCCCATGTGACTCTTTGCCCTTCCATCACCAGGAGCAAGGAAAACCCATGTGGGCTTCTGGGGCTCCATGAGATGAGTTTCAGCCCTTTGCTTGGCTTCCCACTATATTTTGGAGCTTGAGAATGTGCAGTTTAGCTTCAGCACTGCTGAACTGAGTAAAACTGGTGTTGTTGATTTGAACACCATCAGGAGTTTCTCCCAGGTATGAAGCCTGCTCTTCAACTTGTTTATCAAGTTAATGGCTTGTTATTTTTAATTACTTCTCTTGTTTTCTCTAGATTTTCACAGCGTTGCCTCCCTTCACCTTGGGAATCTTTGAACGATCATGCACTCAAGACAACATGCTTAGGTTTCCCCAACTCTACAAAATCACTCAAAATGCTGATGGGTTCAATAGCAGGGTAAGAGGCAATGTTTACTTTTGAGGAATGAAGGAAAACAATAGGAAGGAGCATTCGTATAGAAATGGGAATTTAATTCATTCCTGTAATCTTCTAGTTTTATGCCACTGGAAATGGTTAAACCTTAATATGCTCAAGAATACATTCACTCGGGTTCTGCTAGCTATCTTCATTTCCTTTTTCTTCTGACTTTGTCTGTTTTTTTCTAATCTGTAGAATAGGGATTTTACAGCCACAGTGAAGGGCTGGCAATTCTGTCCTTACTGGTACCATGGAAAGCTGAAAAATAGTTGCGTTTATTTACTTTGATATTTCTATACAGCACGTCACTAGACATTTATACTGGGCTGGTTCTTATCTAACGTGGAGCCATACTTCAGCCTTATGAGAACAAACTACAGTAGACCACAGGCTAACGCCCTTCCCCTCTCATTTTGTAGCTGACTGCATAAGGCTTGGACACTTCCACTTCCATTTTGTTTTAACTGTAGTTTGCCATGTGATCCAATCTGGTGAACTATGGTTAATCCTAACTTTGTTTAGAGGACACAAGCTAACGTCAGACAAGATTTATGAACTTTGTTTGTTTTGACTAACCATATGTAAGACTGATAACTATTTAAGTCTTGAGCAACACATTAAACTGTGGTTAATCAAAAATGGAAGCATTTCTCTGGTGCTTGAAAGGACAGCAGAATTTGTGCCCAGTGAACCTCTATTGGAAGAATATTCTGGAGAGCAGCCATTAGGTAGGCTCTTGCCCTGGTTGCTACTCATCTCACCTCGGATAGTGGCAACACCTTAGTATATGAGTAGGTACATATATGAAGCACCTTAATAGATGGATAGGTACATATGACACGTGTGTTTGTAGATCCATGGAGTGCTTTAAAGGGAGTCCTTTCTTCTGAACTGGTCCTAACTGACTTTGTGCTGGACAAGCCTATGAACCTTAGGCATCCTAAGTCAAGGTCCAGTGTGTAACTCCCATGATCAATACTGGCAGTACTTAAAATCCCAAGATCTCAACTCCATGTGGAAACTGGAATCTGTGTGGACTAGTTGCATTTCCTCAGAGTTAAGGAAATCTACCTGTGCGTACTTCAGGTCTTCCTTCCCTTAACCATTGCTCCGTATATTCCAAGGGACCCCAGACACTAGTAGGACAGGGCTGAAAATGAAAGAATGATAAACCCTGCATTAATTTGAGCCTTGAAGATTGGCTTATAAAATCTGGCTCACATTATGCTTTGAGACCGTGGCAGCCATACTGTGTGCTAACCTTATGGGCTGTCTTTTGGCATCTGGTTGTAGTTGGATGCCAGAAACTCATCTCTCACTGTGTTTAACTGAACTGGGATGGATTCAAACAAGTCCTTTCGTAGCACAGGTAGAAGTCAGCATGGACCATCTGAAATCCGCATCTGCCCTGGGTTTAAAAAGTCATGGATAGAGTTTCAAACTAGAATCTTGACCATATAACTCAAATATATTTAAGAGAACTTAATCTGCATGTGAATGAATCAACTCTGTGTAGGTTCTTTAGCAGACCTGGACATGCTGCAACTGATGTGATTTGCAGCTAAATGTTCCCACATTTCTTTAACATGCCAGCTTTTTTTAACTACCTTACTTACCCGCCACCCCCCCCCAAGAGATTCTGTGAAAATATTGAGATGACTTTATTATTTCTGTCAGAGTGTAGATTTTAAAAGATGTTTCAGGGAGATATGCAGGTAAAGTTACACTGATGTATTTTCTTTTCATATTTTAGAGAATTTCCTCTACTCACAAACCTCTTGTTTTATTAACCTATTCATGCTAACAAAGTTTCAGGACTCAGCACTATACAGTTCATGGACTGAAGAGTTCTGAGGTGATGTTTGTGTTAAAAAAGTCTAAGCTTTCAAGGCATAGATGTCTTTATTTTAAGCAGTATCTTGGGTAGCACAGAGAAGCCCATCTTTCCATTCCAGGAAATTATGAGGCCTGGGTTTTGCCTTTTGCTATTTAGTCTTTTAGACATCTCAACACAATTGCTTGGGAGTGCAGATATTAAAGGGGGACAGCCTGCTTTCATATGTGGCCAAACATCTGAGTCGGCCACATAGCTGATATTGGAGATTTGAACAAAACAGAATTTGGTTCCACAGAAATAGTTGTTTTCTGTTGTTGTGCAAGAAGTACCCAGAAGTCTGATGAAGGAAAACATGGTAGAAACATTTAAGAAATTAGAAAATGGCTTTACAGCCTCAGTATATGTAGGGGATATTATTAACACCGCCAGCACCTTAAATAGATCTGGGCTTGGTGTGATATTAACTGAATGCAAGTCATGTTTTTGTTACCTGAATATCAGTCAAAAGGATTCTCAGCCCATGGAAGGCTGTGAAGGGAAGTGTTAACACTTTCTTTTCCATGGGAAGCCTTTGTTGGGACTTTGTAATGCAAATAACAGCTTCAGGGAGGCCATGAAAAGCAGAGAAAGAGTTAACTCCCCTTCTCCACACTCCCCCTCACAATCCTGCCTCTCTGCAAGTTCTACTTGCATAATGAAAATTATTCATGGCAACTGACTTTGTGCACTTAATATTTCTATTTCAGCTCTAGGTTTTTAGGTTCATGGGTTCTTCATTTATTCCATATGGAGAAACAACTAAAGAACAAGTAGAGCAACTAGAAAACAGAAAAGCACAATGTACCACAGTCTCTGCATCTTCGTGTGTATAAACAAACTCAATAAAGTATTACTTTGTTTATAATGAGTAAACCAGCCTTCTCACCATGAAGCCTTCTAGATATCTTGGACTGCAACTGCTATCATTCCCACCAATCATAGCCATTGCTCTGGCACATCTGGGGGGCACCAAGTTGGAGAAGGCTGGCATAAACTTTACACTTGCTGTCTTCAAGAAGGGTGGTGCATCTTTGTTTTGGCTATTTCTGTATTTTATTTCTAGGGATTTTGTGTATTTGCTATTGAGCAAGTCTAGGCATTTCAGAAAATATCTTTTCTAGTAGAAATGAAGAACTGGGTTCATTTTTAAAGAGTCATTTGGTGGGAGTTAAACACTCTTGGTCAGGCCCCCTGATGGTTTTGTTTGGTTTTCCCTTAGGTGTTCTGGGGTCACTGCATCAATGCCTTGATCCACTCCATCATTCTCTTCTGGTTTCCACTCAAGGCCCTGGAACATGGTAAATAAGTGCTTCATTCTTTTCCACATGTTGGACTAATACTCTCCAGCCTTTCTAACCCAGCCCCAGTGTGTTTGTGGGTCACAACAGGTTCTCTGGAAATTAATCATGACTGACAGGCCAACAGCCTTCAGGGCCCAAACATTTATCAGTGGTGACCTTCCAAATCCTCCCCTTTCGCATGCAGTGTTCCAGAGATAGCCATTTCTATCCTTCAGGAATCGTATAATTTGAGGGGGAGCCATATATGCTGCTGCACTGCTGCAACATTGATGCCTACAACCTAAAGTAAAAAGGTTGGATCCTGTTTTAGTCATATTTAAAATGGACCCATTGAAATCAACTGAATGATTACAGTGGCTAAGTTAATGTTATGAAGCTTCAACCATGTGTGGGCTAGGACTGGGGAAAAAGCAGCCATTTGTCTTAAAATTATGAATTTCACACTGTAATTTCAGGAGGGATGGTTGTTTGAGAGGACTTTACTCTTAAAGACAGGCTAAACATAATTTTAGATTAAAATAAACTGTAGTTTGCAAAACTGACCTTCCACTGTGTTGCTTTTCTAAATCATTTCACTGATTCTTCAACATCTTTACTTGGGAGTAAGTTGTAGTGAGCAAAATGGAGGTCGCTTCTAATTAGAGAAAAGTAGATAGGATTTTGCTGTTCATCTCTGATTCCCTCCCCACCCCCACAAACAGCAACAACAACCACTGTCAACATGGAATGCCTTTTTACAAACTTGGGCTTGCCTTTGAATGCAGCACCTCTGGTTTTTCGAGTGCCATTCTCATTTTTAAAAAGTTAGCAATCTGGGCATAAAAAAATGTACTTTCCAATAGCTCATGTTTAAAAATAGGATTGTAGAAAATGGCACATGGTGACTATATATTTTTAACAAGCCTTCTTCAATCACTGCACCACTTGAATAAAAGGAGGATAAAGGAACCACCTGCTCACTCTGTAAAAGTGTCCCTTGTTCTTCATTACACTGCAGGCAGCCCCCAGTGAGTGACAAGGGGTGCCGCTTTTTATTTTTATTTTTTAAGGTGACAGAATTTCCCAAAATATAACTGAATTGAAACAGGTGATTTCAGGATCAGTGAAATCATTGTCAATTCGATGCAATCTTACATTCCGGATGTTATTCTAGTTAGTTGCGGTGAATGGCTGGGTTTGCACAACATGTCAACCCGTCGCAGGTGGCAAGCTTTACTGGGTAGTTATGTTGGGCAAGCCAGGTCTAAGTCCTGCAGAACGGCCTGTTTGAGGGCAACAGGCTATTCTGACATCCCATGGACTGTTGTAGGGTTATTGGACCCACGTTAGGGTTGTTGTCTCATCCAAATGGGTGCTAGCCCCATAATAGGCTCTGGAGCCAGTGAGACACTTAGCAAGAGCAGCAGAAATCCCTTGCCTTGTCAAGCTTGCCCAGGTACCCACCAGGGACAGCTGTCCCACAAAGAGTATTATTTACATACAATGAATGAATGAATGAGTGAAGTACTCACTGATTTGCTTCCCTTCCTCTCCCATCATAACCTTGCTATCACTTTCCCCTCTTTCCTCCCTTTATGTACGTATGTATGCTTTCAGTGCTTATAGTGGTCATCAAATGAATTATTGGATCAAGTCTTACTGATTTTAGGGTGCTGTTTTGGAAATGTTGGTGATTTAAACTGAAACTGATAAATACCTATTTTGAAAGACACACACATCTCTATGTAGGAAAGCTTGGCTGTATTTGCTATTCAAGGAGAGAAGGATATAGGACTTATTTCCATCTGAGAGGAAAATTTAAAAAACTTCAGATGAAAAAAAGTCATTCACAATGGCATTTCCTTTAACCTCTTGAGTTTCTTAGAATGCAACTTGCATATGTGCAAAGAATGGATACTTGTGCAGACTTACAAATAAATGTTCACAGCACACCCTGGCCATCTCTGTCCATCATTGGAGGAAAATAGTATTTGCAAGAGAAAAGGCTGTGATATGGTAAAGTAAAACATCTAGACAAAACTATGACATTGAATTTCTCCCCAAATATCTGGATTTAAACAGAATTCTAAACAGGGAGCATTTTTCAAAAGCTACGCACCAGGCTTCCCAAAGTAGTGCAGTGCACTGGTCTTGAACAGAAACGCCTATAAGCCCCCAATAATGTGGCTTGGGGATTATGGAAGTTGTAGTCCAGCACAACTGGAGGACACCAGGTTGTGAAATGCTGCTATACACAGGAGTGAGGAGAACAGCCTTCTATACAGAACTACAGCTGGAAGCAGAAATGGAAACCACCAGATCAGGGTAGTTTTTAGTTGCCAAAGTTCTTTCCAGAGCTTTTTAAATTCAGACTTAACAAGGTCCCCTTTGGATGGGTCATCTTCCATGCAGGGAAAAGAAGATATTAGATAGTGCTCAGGGCTGTTATTGACAACAAACAAAGAAATCCTTTCAGTTTACCTGTTGTTTAAGGGCTTTCCATGTACACTTAAGTTCCAGTGTGACAGGAAAGAGCAGCTGTTATGGGCAGGCATAATATTTAGGGAATATGCATATCTAAGAGTATCCAGTGTTGCGGTTAGTTGCAGCTTTGCCACAGCCTTAGCAGTGGATGGCTGTCCATGGCCGACTGGTTGTCCAAGCCAGTATCCACTGGTTTCATGCCGCAAAGTAAAATAGCTCTAGCAGAACTCCACCGAATCTTTCCATAGTACATGTACTTTCCGGTTATGCTTGTACAACCAATCCTGTAAGCAGTTGCATAAGCAATAGTGCAATGAGACTGGGCATACACTTGCACCATCAGCTGTACAAGCATAGTGTATAATTGCTTGTACAAACTTAATTTAGTTGGATTCATCTCTTGCACATAGTTCACAGCCTATTTTCCATCTGTGCAATACCATTTGCACTAACATAATGATATAGCTGGACACTGCCGCCAACAGTCAGATTTGTCTGTTCATTGGAACTAACCCACCCAGTCTGTGGAACTGACACTATTATACCACAAAAGTGACCATTTCACGTTACAAATACCCAACAGGCTACAAACACCATTCATATGGGATAACAGGGTTGGAAGGGACCATGAAGGTCATCTAGTCAGCCTCCTGCCACTGGTATAGCATTTTAGAGTGCTGTGCCTTTTATCCAATTGAGGTTGCAATGCTACAGCATCTTAGCCAAATGTAAGCCACACTGACTATAGGTGAGAGATTGGACAGGACAGCACTACAGGTGAGAGATTGGACAGGACAGAACAAGGAGTGATGTTGCACTATGGACAGCACAGCATCACACATGGAGGTAGCATGATGTTAGCACGTCATAAGGAGGTAGCATGCTGTGAGCAGAGCTGGCTAGAGCCAGGGGTCAGATTAGATGGCCTGGGAGGTCCCTTTTGATGCGCTCTTTTTCTGTGTTTCTATGTTGTGTACCATTGCACACTCCATATTTGGAGCAGCATTATGGTAATCTGCCGGAGACTCAGCTCTGCATCATGCAAATCATTTATTTATTTATTTATTTATTAAAACATTTCTATGCCGCCCCATTCGCCGAAGCCTCGGGGCGGCTCACAACATAAAATAAAATACAAAAATAACAATATAAAAATAACAATATAAAATAAATAACAATATAAAAGAAGTCGCCCTGGCAGATAAATAAGCAAATACTGTTAACAATTAAAATGACGCTTAAATAAAAAGGTCTTCGCCTGGCGCCGAAAAACAAATAACGACGGTGCCAGGCGGACCTCTCTGGGGAGCGCATTCCATGTTAATGACTTGCTTAACATGTCATCCCAGTCCAGACAAACTGCAGTTCAACTTAACTATGTTTAATACAAACAGGCCAGCTTCAAGTCATAATATATGAAGGCAACCAATCATAACTGAAATAATCCAAAGTTTAGGGATGAAGGTAAGGCAAAGCTGTGATAATGGAAAATGAGAAAAGACACTTCTGGTCTGCTTCTCATGATCATGCCATAGTAGAAGAGGAGTTTGATGGTTTTTTATTTATTTTAATTTGCTTTTTTGTGGTGGTGGTTGATGCACTGGCTTTTGGTTTTAATTTTCAGTTTTCTTGTTAGGAATGGGCAGTCTCACCTGGCAGTGTCCCAGAGGGTGTGTGTGTGCTGTCAAAGTGCCAAAAAGCAGCACCCTGAAACGGGTAGAGAGGTCTATTTTCCACAAGATTGTTACCTGACTGTTGTCAAAAGGCGAGTTGTCAAGGGAAAGCAAAACCTCAAGTGAGCTTTGCTTACAAAGGGGCTGACCTCTAGATCACCCCTGTCATGGTAGGGTCCTTTCCCTTTATTTTTTGGCTGGTCATGACTCTTCCCGGCGTCCTGCATCTTTTCCACCCTTCTTCAAGAATCTAGGAGCATCGAAGGTGGAGACGTCTGAGCCATGCTCTTTTACGGGGACACAGAGTTTCCATTTTGACAGGGCTAATGAGGGGGCTTTGGTGGGGTCATCTACAGCCATTGACAAACTGCTTTTGTGATTTCCAGGAGGAAATGGGCACAGGGAAGAGGGTTTTGTCACTCTTATCAACTACAAAAGGGTTGTTTGCCTAGTTTTGTGTTTTGTAATAAGCTTTATTCAAAATAACCCTAAAACAAAGAAAAACTAAAAACAACATCAATCATCAAAACCATTGGACCTGCTGGGTCAGCCCCCACATTTTTTCCATTTATGATAACTTAGAAACATATTTATACGAAGTCCTGTTTCTCTAGCTAATAATAAAAAGAGTCCCAAGTTTGATAGAAATGGGTTGTTTGTCTAGTTTTGGATGACACGATAAACTACCATGGATACGCCGACCCCTGAGACAACCTATGGACTGTCAGAGTGGCTTGCAACCCATTAACACACCACCCTGCGGTATCCACTCCAGGTTCCTGCCCCACTGAAGTGCATCATAGTTTGTTACCAAGGATGGGCTGGTGTGTTGTGTGGATGCAGTCAGTGAGTGGCTAAGAGCTGTTTGCTGCAGTGAATCTTACTTTTGCCCTGAACCCACTAGCTAGTCTTTGGCAAGCTTTCTGTTTTCGCCACAGTTCCCATTGCCTCTAATAAAAGGATAATCACACTGGCCTTAGAGAGAGTTTTTGAAAAAACTACAGTATGTATGAATCATTCTGGATAAATAAAAGAGCTGTATATGGCGTAAATTTCAAAAACTGTTGTTTTCAAATTTATTGAAATCTTGTTTTGAAACCAGGATCTGATCATATTTGCAATCCAAGTCATTCCTGTCCTGATAGTGTTCCCTTTACCCCTTTCCAAGACATTTCACTAAAATGGGAATATAATTTACTAATTCAAGCAACTTGTAGAATCTAGCCACAGGTTTCTGTTTTAAATCTGCCTCACCTACACTGACATGTGTGTCTTTGGCTGCCACACTGAAACCTGCTGAAACTTGATGGCTGTGTAAGTCCTCTGGGTTACAGCCCTTTTGGATTAATTTGGGGATTCATAGTGCTGCCATCTGTTCTCTTTTCCATAGGGGAACCCTTAATCTTTTCCTCAACAGGAACTTAGCGCTAGCACAGGGCTACTTGAAGAACTGCCAAGTTTGGCACTTCCATATGTTAAATTAACACGTATTCACCTTTTTGTACACTCATAGAGGAGAGAGGGTGTTAGAACATAAGAAGCCAGCCACTTAACATCCACAAGAGGTTTTAAGCTATCAGTTAGAAAGGTGATTTTGAGTCTTCATTTTTTGTAACAGTTGGATAAAAATATATCCTTACTTCAAAAAATCGAATAGAAGTAAACATGGCAGGAATGCCTGAATGCAGTACAGTGACACAAAGATGTCATGGCCACTGGAATTGTTCATCACCCAAAGATACTTTGATCATAAGTTCTTGGCAGAAATCCCCTTTCTATTCAATTTTAATGATGAAGTGTGTGTGTGTGTGTGTGTGTGTGTGTGTGTACGTACTATCTTTAACATTTAATGGCTTCAGCAATGAGTAACACAGTTATTACACTATTTGCTTCCACTGTGTGCTGCTTTTGAAGAGCTTTGAAAAACCCAGTGTGCAAAATTCATCCTCTCTACAGAGAGAAATCCAGGAGACATGTTTTAAAAACACATCAGGGAGCTAAAGCACATTCAGATTCCTTCTGAATGTTCCCTAGTCACATAGTTACCTTTCATTACCCTTGTCGAAAAGTAAAGGTATTCAGGCTGCACAACCAGCTAAATGTAAACTATGCTATATTTGTATACCTTTCTTCTTTTCTTTAACTTTTCTTTCATACATTTGACTGTTTTTGCATTAGTATGAGCTCCTGTTTATTTTAAGATATTTGTAGATTAAAATATGTTTTTTAAGACTGCAATCCTATATTTCCTTATCTGGAAGTAAACCCCACTGCATTCAATGGGACTTATTTTTGAGTTGACCAGGGTAGGATTGTGCTGTTAATTACTTTCATTTGCATTTGTTTTTATTCTTTGTACTATACTGTCTGAAAATCTTAAACTAAAACACCAGTTTTTAAAACATTTCCCAGTGGGAGAATGGTGTTTCACTTTTCTTATCTTTTTCAGATGCGGTATTTACGAATGGCCAGAGTGTAGACTATCTCTTTGTTGGAAACATTGTTTATACGGTAAGCTGTCAGTGTTGAGTCCCCAAACCACATGTCCCTGTGACATGGGCGAAATCTCATTGACTTCAGCTATGCATGTATTTCCTCATATCCTGCATAGTAGGTTTGCAGCTGCCAACAGTGCTGTGGAAAGTTCGAATTTTGATTTTGTCATCATGTGACAGTTAAGGGGTCATGGAGAACCTGCCATGAGGAACTTATGGCCCCAGGAGGGCTGCTGCTGGCTGAACAGCAGGTGCTGGCAGACACTGGAAGAACCGAGAAATAATTTCAGGGCCCATGACTCATGGATTGAGCCTCAATGATGCCCCTGGGAACTTATGCAAGGTCATTTTCAATTAGTTCTGGTTGAGGTGATGGTTGAGGTTTTGAGATACTTCTGGTCACTGCAGCTCTTGCATTTTCATACTTGTCAGTGGGTGCCATTTTGGTGCCACATACATGCTCAGAGGACTACAGTGTACAACATCCATTTCTTCTGTTCTTCTGGTCTGTTTGACAGGACTTCCAGGATAAGGACTTCTTGTGTTCCTGGTTGTGCAATACAACATCCAGCCAGGATTGCTAGATCCTGCCGTCAGGATAGGGAAGGCTTATCCTTCTTCTGTAATTTTGAAATGTGTTTGACGCAGGAACTAAACATTCATTCGTTCATTCAACATTTGAGAATCACTTAAATTTAAAAAGTCTAAGTATTTGCCTAAACAGAGGATGCATACAGAGGATTGGTGCTGACCTAATTTGTAGTTTTAGGGAGTTGCAGAGAGTGGGCACTAATGCCAAAGGCCATAATCTTAGACCAGATGGAGGGCACCTCATGCTCCTGATGACCATAGCAACCAAGGAGGCTGGGCGTCCCTTAAGTATCCTGTGCTGAATCGTTTAGGCTGGCCAGCCGGCCTGCCTGCCTTATTTATTTATTTATTATTTGCATTTATATACCACCCTAATAGCCCAGAGTAAAACTAAATCTGGGCCACAGCTTATAGGCATTTAAAAATGAAACAGCATTTAATTTCTACATGTGTATACCTCTATGTCTTTGTAGCATGTCTTAAATTTAAATACTGCTCTCTTTTCAAAAAGACAAAGAGGAAGGCAACTGTAGATGTGGAATGTATTCTGGAATTCAGTGTTTCTCTTTTCTTCCATTCTTTCTGCACTTCTCTTGCTGCAGTACGTTGTAGTGACAGTCTGCCTGAAAGCTGGTTTAGAAACCACGGCATGGACAAAAGTAAGTATGAGAAATGTGGCAGTCATAACCCTCCCAATTCTCTTATGAACCAGTTAAAGGAAATAATGAACTTTGAATCTGATTTTGCAGTTAACATGGTGGATCACTATTTTATTCCAGGAAAGGGTTTTACCGCTGCCATTTTTTACTTTTCTGATGTAAAATTGTGTAGGATAAAGATGAGGACGTGCCTTCAAAGAATGAGGTTGGGCAGGTATCTGGGGCTCATAAGTATTTGAAGCAGGAGGTTAAAAATATGGCTGTGTGCGTATCTGCATCTACAGTGGTATAGATGCAGATACAGAAGTGCCCTTATGGACAGAATGAGCACTGGAATTTGCATTGGTAATTGCAGACATGAAACCAAGTGGTGAAACTTATCCTGGGTTGATTGAGCTTTTCGATCTGGGAAGAGAACAAGTATACAGTCTTATATATTTGCCATAAGTGGATCACTGTCCATCCTTTCTGCAAGAGAAAAGCTCAAGTAAGTTTAAAATATTCCTTTAATGTGCTTCCTTGTGCATTGCTTTAAAAATGCAGGCTTCAAAGCTACAACATAATGAACCCATCCATTCAAAAAGTATGCACATTCAAATCAAACAATGTAGAAAGATGGTGTCTCTTTAAATTTGATTGCACTCTTAATAGTGTGATGCTTGAGCATCACTGAAGCACACTAACTACCAGCCTGTCTGACCTGACTCAAAATAGATTTTCATGAACTCTGGTGAATTATTTAAAAGATGCACTGCAGTTTCAAGGAATCCATCTATATATCTATGTCTAGGATGGGATCCAGATTTAGGTGTTGCAACTGGGCCGGTGGAAGCAAAGTTTCTGTTCCTTTCTCCACATGATAGTCCTCCAGCTCTCTAAAAATGCTACACAGAGGACTGGGGACCCAGCTGAATGGGGTGAGCTGCAGTTCAGAGAGAAAGGAAGGTGATCTGCAAACATCAAGTGAAGGCCCTTTCTGTGAGTGGATCCTGTCCAGTGACAAAATGCAGATTGTGGATTCCCCCTTGGTCTTGTTTTGTTATTTAACTCAGCTCATAGATGTATTTCCTTCATGTTGTAAAGACAAAGGAGGGTTGTGTTTTCTTCTAAGCCCACTTGTGGCTGGCAAGCCTTATTGTTTCAGCTGTGGGCTGAACAATCCTCCACACAAGGATCTTCCCCAAGTCCTTGAGAAGTATGAGTGTGTACCATTGAGTTAAGCCTCGTCTCCATCATCAGGTAGATTGGTTACGTGTAGTTTAGTCTCATGAGTGAGAAAATCCCATTGCTGAATGAGAGGATATGATAGTTGGGAATGAATGGCTTGAACAAATAAATCAGGGGAAATGCACTGTAGTTGTCGCTCAACAAGGCAGAAGGAGAGCTTGAGGTTGTTTACATATTCTTTGACTTGCAGGAACAACAGAACAGTCTGCTAGTGACAAAGTGCAGGACTATTTGCTCTTGCGTGTGTTGGGACGCATGGTCTATTGGAGTACTGCAAAACAAAATCCTGAGATTTTGGGACTGCAATCTTAAATACGCTTACTTGGCAGTAAGCCACAGCATACTCCATGGGACTTGCTTCTGAGTAGATACACATAGGATTAGACTGTAGGGAATTTTCAGGATCAGAATAGTGGAGTTGGAAGGGTCCAACATCCTGCTCAATGCAGTATTAAATCTATGGAAACCATGGCACGTTTCTTCAGTCTCAGCTGGGCTATGGTGAGTTTCACTGTTTTGTATGTTTTAGCAGTTTACATTTTTATTTTACTTTATTCCCTATTGTAAGAGGCTATGGGGACCATTTCTGGGGGAAATAGTTTCTTTTTTAATCGCAAAAATTCCCCTAGGATTTTTTTATTTTTTAGTTATGTTAGTATTTTATTTGTGCAAGTTATAGGATGTTTATAGCCAATGTTCTCTGAGAAATTTATAGGGATAAAAACCAAATACTATTAAAATAAAGCAATAAAACATAGTCTCACTCTAGATGATGATGATTACAATAAAGCACATCTTAATACAGCTTCTATATAACCCATGAAGAGCTATAGTTTTAAAATGCTGAGTTTTCCCTGAAATCTAAAACTAGAGGAGGGCTGGGTACATCCTAGGGTGGTCTGTCTGTTGATCTGGGTTGACATTAAAGCCACATGTGAATTTGAGTCCTGCCCTGGAACAGAGGGGGACAGGCTAAAGATCTATAGCTTACTTTTTTCTTTTTTTGCTTACTAGAACACCAAGATCTACCAACGAGAGACTGTGCAAAAAAAAAAAAAAAAAAAAAAAAAAAAAACATATACTTGAAATTAAAGTACTCCAAGTCCAGGAATGCACCAGGAGTAGCAGAACTGCATGGAGCTCATAGTCCTTCCATGCAATAATTCACTCTTGGTTACTCCCCAAGCTTTCTTCAGTTTTCAACAATACAATTTAAGCTAGTGGTGTGGGAATCATTATTTTGATGCTACTGCTAAAAAATTGGTTATCAGGAACTTTTGCCAATCTACTGAAAATTACCCAGAGATCTACCAGTGGTTCCAGAGCTACTTTACGCCTCCCTCCTTCCTTACAACAATTATCTACAGTTTGGAAGATCTTCAATAAAACAAAACAAACAAAAATCAGTATAAGAAGTTTGCCCTAAAGACAGAAAAGCACTGGTGTGGCGGAATGAATGTTATTAAGGAAATTACTCAGAACTGTAAGGGAACAAGAGAGTTTTGAAGTATGTAGCCAGTCACTTTTCATAAGACCTTTTGAAGAACCCTCTTGGATCACCCTAAAGGTCTATCCAGTGCAGGAGGATGAAAAGCATATGTAGCCCACCAAATGGTTTCTGAAAGCCCATTAGACATCCACCATTTCCACTGCCACCAACTGGCAGTACTGTCTGGAGTTAGCAAGGGAGTCCCTTCCCTTAGCTCCAAACTCTCATCAGAGGTCTCATCAGGAAGTGATGATAAGGAGGCAGTTCCCATGTGAAAGCTAGGACTATCAAGAGAAACCCCAGGGTTAGTGCTAGCATTAAGAAGGGAATTCCCAGGCTTGTCAGGTTGTGTGTGCGACCATGTGGCATCACCAGTGCAGACCTCAGGCTCAAAAAGGTTGTGTCTGCCTAGTCTAGTCCAGTGTTCTGCTTCCCACTGTGACTAGAAAGATGCCCCCAGGAAGTCCACAAGCAACATTGGTCAGCGATAGCCACCTCCTGCTGTTCCTCAGCACCTGAACTTCCGAGGTACATCACCTCCAGAGCATCCCAGGTCTGAATCTGGTCAGTGCTTAAAGGGGAAGCCATCTGGCCTCCAGGAGTAATCACCTTGAGTTCCATGAGGAACACAGTTGGGATATATATGTAACAAATAATAGTACGAGTGCTTTCAGTTCTCACAAATGCTAGTCTTTCTGTGGCCCAAATTTCATCAACCATGTACAATAGTTGGGGAGCTCCAAGGGTTGCATAAATACAAAGCTTCTCTCAGAGGAACTTCAAAGGAACCCCCTCCCTAAACAATGGAATGCTGGCTACCTGTTCTGGTCCCTTCATGTCCTTGAGAAATAAATAAAGCCCTATAGCTTACTGTAGAGCCAAGGTGTTCCAATGAATCCAGTGGGTGGTATCCAGTGTTAGCCTACTGGAAGTCCCACTATTTGGGTGAGTCAGTGCTATGTAGAACACAGAACTTTGTCCTTTGATTCTGCCTCCCTTGCACCTCCTCCCCAACCTCGTGATATCTGTAAGGCCCTGAAATGCTTTGTGGGCAAATACATGCTAAGAATCTGGTTAGTGTTGTTTAAAATAGCCTGTGAGATGCCAGGAGAGATCACAGAATGTTCATGCCTCATGGAAAAAGGATTCAAGTCAGCAGTTTTCTGAGCAGTTTGCTGGCTTTAAATCAAGAGTGCTGAACAGCCCTGAGTGGCAAAAGCCAAGATGGAAAAAGAGCTGTCAGAGGTAAAATAATACCTGAGAGTCAAGAGTGGGCAACTCCCTGTACTGGGTTGTGTCTTCATGGTTTGCTTCTTCTCCCCTGCAGTTCAGTCACTTAGCCGTCTGGGGAAGCATGCTGCTCTGGCTGGTCTTCTTCGGTGTTTACTCGACCATCTGGCCCATCATCCCTATTGCACCAGACATGCTCGGACAGGTCAGTCCTTTCATTCACTGCAGCAAAGGCACTTCTGAAGTGCATCGCACTCATTAGAGCTGTAATCTAAGCACGTGGCTCAGTTGTGTATGGATGCATTTTAAAGGACTGCTCTGCCTCTAGGTCACTTGCACGGATTAATATATCCTTGATGTGGCAGATTGCTTTTTGTTTGGTTTAATTTTTGCTAATCCTATGAAATTTAATGTTTCAAACCAAAACTGTCCTTCACCTTTTTCCATGCTGAGTGAAAAGACCTAAGTTTCTATCTACACCATGATCCTGCCTTCTTAGTCCTCTCTCAAAATGAGCTTTAATTGATTAATTAAATGGATTGAAGTGACAGCCTTATGGTGGGAGTGCTCCTGGTATGAACCTACACATATATTCTGATCTTCATCTGAGAGCATCCTCCAAGCATCTCTTCTGAGGGACTTTTGGAGGGTGGCAACAAAGCCCTCTCAGTGGGATCCCCCTGACTATAGAATAATCTTCCCACTGAGGTTCATCTAGAACTAACCTTATCAGGTCAGCCACACCAGGTTAAGACTTTCCCAGAAATTTGACAGCATATGACTTTAATGGGCTCTGGGGTTTTTAGCACTTTGCACAACATTGTTTTATATTTTTGTATGCAAATAGATTGGCATTACATCATTATATTGCATTTTTAGGATTTTAATTTTTGTAAACCACCAGGAAAGCTTTGGCCATTGGACACTATAGGAATGTTAAATGAATGGCTCCTTCTTCAAGGATGGAGAGAGGTCTGTCCTTGGGTAAAGAGATGTGACCTTGGAAAGGATATCCCAGTTGCCACAGAATTCTCTGTAGACCTTGCTTCATCCCTTTTGGATCTCTGATGTGGACAGAAGCAAAAGGTGCTCTGGATGTGGCTACATGACGTTTGGGGGAAGGTTTTTATCCACAGGAGAAATGCTACTTCGTCATGCTACAAATGCTACTTTGTAATGCTACTTAAATTTTGATCTGCTTGAAACAACATAAGCATTCTCGTGCTGCCTACTTTTGAACAGTACAAATCTATTGCAGCAAGCTCATTTTATAATAAAGGCATTCCTGCCTGTGTGATGGTGAAGAAGGAATTCCACCATCTGCAATTTTTGGTGTTTACCATCTGCAATTTTTAATAAGTGCTAATTTTACAAGCAGTTTTACCAAAAAATAAAAAGCATTAGCTGACCAATAGGGGATGTTCTTTTGATCTTTACTTGTGGAAGGGCGCAATTGTACCAGGTTGCCTGTAAGCCCCCAATCTGGGAGGCTTAAGTGGACATATAATGCAAAGTGGAAGATGTCTGCTGGAGTATTAAATGGGGAAGGAAGGAGGCTGGAGCAGCTTCAGGCATCTCCATAGCCTGGCCTCCTTGCTCTCTTCTATTACCTGCCCTCCAAGTGTCCCTTCTACACCTGTCTGAGGTCACTTTCCTGACTTTGGAGAGCAGCAAGTGGAGTTTTTTCTATGCTGGCTGTAAGGTGAAAGAAAAAGAGGCAGAGCTTCGATACCTACTTCCCAGCTCAAAGTATTCAAACCAAAAAGATCTGGACAGACTATGGAAGAGGGCTGGGGACAACAGGATGGTGTTCAGTGCAGAGAAGTGCAAGATCTTGCACTTGGGGGATAATAATGGGCATTATAAGTACAGGTTAGGGGACAAGTGGCAGAAGAGCAGCACTTATGAGAAGGATCTCGAGGTGCTAGTCGAGCACAGGCTAAACACGAACCAGCAGTATGATGCAGTGGTCAAGAGGGCAAACCCCACCCTTGGATGCATAGCCAGAAGCATGGCTTCTAGATCGAGAGGTATTACTGCCACTCTATACGACTCTGGTGTGGCTGCAGCTGCAGTACTGTGTTCAATTCTGGGCCCCTCATTACAAGAGGGATATAGCAAGGTTGGAAACAGTGCAGTGAAGGGCCACAAGGATGGTGGCTGGTTTGCAGGGTAACCCATATGAGGCGAGGCTGAGGGAGCTGGAACTTTTCAGCCTGGAGAGGAGACCCACAGGTACGTGAGACATACAGGTACATGAGGGGGTGTCACACAGAGGTGGGTTGTGACCTTTTTTCTCTGCAGAGAAGAGCAGGATGCGGTCCAATAGAGCAAAGCTCAGGGAGCCAAGATTTAGGGTGGATACCAGGAAGTATCACACTATAAGCCATCCAGAGATGATTCGTATAGGATGGGATGAAAATATCCTAATAGATAAATAATAAATAAATGATACCTTGGCTCACGAACTTAATCCATTCCAGGACTCTGGTCATGACCCAAACTGGTTGTGAGGCAAGTTAAATTTCCCCATAAGTTTCAATGTAAATAAGGTTAATCTATTCTGTAACTATTTTTTTTTTAATCAGAAAAATGTGAAGCAAAGTGACAAAGACCAACAAAGATCGCAGACATCTCCCCCACCCCCCAGCACGATCGCAATCGTGCCCGTCATCCCTGCACGCGCCCGTCATCCCAGCGCGTGGGGAGGGGGAGATGGGCGCAAACATGGGTGTGCTGGGGGGAGAGACAGGTGTGAACGAGGGCACGCTGTGGTGGGGAGATGAGCGCAATCGTGCTGGGGGGGGGGCAGATGGCCGAGATCGCGGTTGTGCTCCTGCAGGAAAGACAGGTGCGATCTCGGTCATCTCCCCACCCCCAGCACGATCGCGTCCATCTCCCCACTTGGGGATGTTGGGAGATGGCCGTGATCACGGTTCCCACCCAATGCGGAGTCTGCGACCTGAGTCAAAATTTGTATGAAATTTTTGTTCGCGACCTGATTTGGTCATGAACTGAGGTGTTCATGAGCCAAGCCACCACTGTAAGTACTTCCTGATGGTTAGGACCCCAAGGGTATGGAATGGGCTTCCACGGAAGGTGGTTGAAGTCCCATCAGAGAGAGTGTGTAAGAATAGGGTTGGCATACACATGGTAGACATGTCATGAATGGAGCTGGCTGGAGCCAGGGGTCGGACTAGATGGCCCAGGAGGTCCCTTCTGACTCACTTCATTTCTATGTATCCACCCTGGATCTGGAAATCAAAAAGTCTCTTTATTCCCCAGCATCCATAGGGCTTCTTCCTGATCAACTAAAGGTTGCAGTGGTAACAACCAGAGCATGAATATAAGTGAAACCAATGGAAAAGAAAGCACAAAAAGCGAAGCCACATGCTATCAGTGCCTCCTTATCATTTGAGGTCTCCTCCCGAAATGGTTTTCACTCAAACATCACATCTGGGGAGGGGTCAGATTCCGAAGCATTATGCTGAACTTCAAATTCATGGATTTTCTGGGTTAAGTACAATTGTTATTCTAATTTGGTCATACATTAATATTCTCCATAGGCGATTTTCAAGTTTGTGGTTTCTTTTACAAAATACCACTTGCAAACCAAATGGGTTCTATGGCCATATCTTGTATTTTTCCTGATTAAGTATCCAGCTTTTCTGGTATTCTTTTTCTCTGACTTGTGGAAAGAAAAGAAAATAGAGCTGTAAAATAAATTACTAGGTGACCACCATAACCAGGTGGGAGCTATGTATGTCACTAGTAGTTACTCTTCGTACATTGGTGAGGTTTTGGATTTGTTTCTTCGACATCTGTAGAGTTCCAAGTGCTGAAATTCTCCCCTTCAGTGCCATGATGTCAACCCTGGGAGAATAGGGAAAATAATGAGCTTGTCAAAACTACTCAAGAGTCCAATGGGAATGTGAAAAATAGGAGGCTCTGGGGGCAAGGCAGGATGAGAGTTTCATAAATGTTAAGTTAAAATACTACAGGGAGCAAACTCAAATGCAAAAACTGTCTTTCTGGAAAGCTAGCTGTGACAACCTTTACACCCAATGCAATGCACTATATTAATTATCTTTCACTCTTGATGGCCACTGAAATAGACAACTATGTTCTGTTACTGGATGCGGAGATGCCTACAACCCTCTTTGCCATGCTTTGCCTCTTTCAAAGCAGGTAATGAGCTTCTCAGAGGGGTTCACCTGTGCTCTTTTTGGCACCAGGTGAAGACTTTTTGATTTCCCCAGGCATTTTGTTTTGCAGTTTCTGTTTTTTATCTTGTTTTTATTTTAAATCTTTACACTGAGGCTAATATTTGTTTGATTTTATTTTTACACTGTAGTTTTAAACTTTTATTTTTTATATTGTGGAGTAAATGTATGTTGGGGTTTAAATCACTCTGAACTAGAGAGCTATGGCTATTTGACAGGATAGAAATATAATAAATAAATAAAGTTCCCATATGGTTTGGTTAAGAAAATGTTAGGTTTAAAATAAGATATTAGCAATATTGCAGTTAGTCATGGTAATAGCTTTAATATCTCTAGTTAAATTTGCATGAGATTTTCCTCAGGACATGTGCTCTGACTTTTGCCAAACAAATTTCTGACTTACTTTCTGGGTCACAGAAGCAAATAGAGCAAGAACTGTAAACTTTGCATTATCCACAAGCAGAAAGCAAAATTGTCCCATGCAGAAATGGGTGCAAATATCAGCAAGATGCCTTTTCCTAAGTCTTAAATATAGACATGTTCAGATGAGAAAACAACCCACCATGGTTGTTATCATGGGTGGGTTGTCATGTTGTGTGAAAAGGGAAAGCCTTCCTGGATGGATTGGTCTTTTGAACAAGTCACCCTGCAGTACCCATGGGCAGTTCTATGGTTATTGTCACCCATGATGACTTGCATGACATATGAACCAGAACAACAAGACTACCAACAGCCAATGACCCCTTCAGCAACAGCAGTAAAATTGCGATGCTGCTGGGCCCAAGTGGCTGCTGGGACTACCATTGCCAGCCACCCCAGTTTGCACTTAGGTGGGCTGGTAGAAACTGCCCCCTCCCTCCATTGATCACTAGCCAATTTTGGCTGGCAACCACAGCTTCTTCATTTAAACTCGTTTGTTCGTCTATATTGAAGACTGCCAGAGCCAGCTGGGAGACTTCAGGCACAATCTCTTCAGTGGGAG